CTCCGTCAGGAGGTGTCGGTGGCTCTACACTTAGGTCGGGCGTGTCCCCCTACAGGGGGACTTTCGACGAAAAATAAAACTTACCCCAAAACGACCCCCAAAAGGTCAAAAACTATTCGAAGGATAGTCCCCAGACTATGTTTGGACTATGTTTGGATTCTTTTGGGGGTCTTTTTTATTTTCGTCGAAGATCCCCCTGTAGAGGGACAGGCCCGACTTAACTCTATACGTGAGACCCCATGGGATCCTGGCGTCTCCCGTGCTGCGAGCCGGGCGTTGTCGCCCAGACTCGGGCCCAGGGAGCCTCACAGATCCATCCGGCACGGAGAATGGCGCACGGAGGTGGGGTCTTACTAGGGCTCCAGTCGCGATCTGCTGCGATACGTGTGTCAGCTTTTTCGAGAGGTCGGATCGCAGGGGGAGTGATCCGTCGCTGGAGCGGCTCCCGGCGCGGGCACGCTGGGGTCCCCAGATCGCCGAGTGCGATGCGATTGCAGCGGCTTGCGCGCTTGGGTTTGCCCCCCCGCCCCCCCCCGCGCCCGCCTGGAGCCGCGCACCACAGGTCGCTCTTGCCTAGGGGCACTCTTGCGTGTGCATCCGAAGGTACCACCCTGTTGGCAGGCTCGACAGAGACTCCACCGGGCTGCTTATCTCGAAGGAAAAAAAGCTGCATAAACATAAATTGTCGGAGCTCCGCGCGGATTTCTTGGATCGGCGCTGGGCCCCCCTGGCGGCGCCTCCGGCGGGAAGTGGGGTTCAGCGCAGATCCAGGAAATCAGCGCGGACCTCCGAAAGCTTATGTTTATGCCGTCTCTTGTTCTTTTCTTATCCTGAGCAGCGACGGCGTGCTGACGAATGAGCTGCTGGACCCGAGCCCCAGCATGCCGCGCGTCTACGAGGTGACGGTGGACGGCGACGCCACCGCCGTGGAGAGGGACGGCAAGGACCTGCGCCAGCTGCTCCGCGACGGCGTCCTGATCACCCAGGGCATCTTCAGCGGCAACGTCCACGACGTGCGGAGGCTGGCCCCCGAGGGCCCCCCGCGCTCGAAGGTGACGCTGGAGGTTCGGGGGAGCGTAAGACCCGGGTTTGCCAGGACCCGGGTTCGCCATCGTTTTTGACGACCGCGCCTCGGATTTTGACGAGGAGGAGTTTCGTGGGATGTCTGCAGCGGGAGGCCTCGTCAAAATGCAGGCTCGGCCTCGTCATTTTTTGACGACCTCGTCGGGGATTTCCGAGTCCCCTGTACCCAGGTCTTACGTCCCCCTGAGAGGTGTTCGCGGGCAAGTACCACCAGGTGCGGAAGATGCTCTACAGCGTCGGGCTCCCCGTCCTGGAGCTCTGCCGCGTGCAGCACGGGGAGCTCCGGCTGGGGGGCCTCGGGCTGTCAGGAGGGAAAAAAAAACACACAGACACAATTAATCCTCGATTCCCCAGAAAATATGGGAAAATATGGGAAAGTATGGGAAAAGGGGGGAAGACAAAATCCCAGAAAATATGAGAAAATATGGGGAATAGTTTTATTTGTGCGTATTTATTTGTGTGCCCTGGGGCCCCTTCAGGCTGGGCGAGCTCGCGCGGCCCTCGCCGCAGGAGGCGCGGTGGGCGGCCGAGCTGGCCCCCGGGCGGCGGCGGCAGCAGCCGCGCCCCGAGGAGGCGAAGCCGCGGGCTCCGGCGGCCGACCCGAAGGAGATGATGAAGGATATGCTGAGGCGCTCGCTGGGCTGACGGTTGCGTCGGGCGTGTCCCCCTTCAGGGGATTGTCATCGAGGAATTAAAAATACCCCAAAAATGCACCAAAAAGCTAAAAAACTACTCAAAAAATAGTCCCTGGATTATTTTTGGATTATTGTTGGGGTATTTATTTTTTGTCGAAAATCCCCCTGTAGGGGAACAGGCCAGACTTAAGCTGACGGCCCGCCTGCATAGGCGGCGAGGCGAGGGCGCCAGGAAAGGACGCAGGACAGAGCAAGTCTGCCGCCACCTCCTCTCCAATTGCCTGCAACCCCCTCGGTCCTCGGTCCTCGGCCCTGTCCTTGATCCTCGATCCTCGGCCCTGTCCTTGATCCTCGATCCTCTTCCTCGCGCAGCTCCTGCGGCTGCCGATCACGTCGCCACCGGCGTGGACCAGGTGCCCCCGCGTCGCCTTATAGCAGGCGAGGCGGCGCGGCCTCGGTGGCCACGCGCGCTTGCAACTTCTCCATGTCGCACCACCAGGCGTGTCGTCAGGGCGGGCTGGGCGTTTCGCCTGAGACCTCCTCGCCCTTCGCCGTTGACGACCTTGCCTTGAGGCTTTGAAAAATCCAACAGTTTGCATGGACGGAGGGCTGGCCGCTGTCAAGGCGGGGCTCTTGCCTGGAGCGCGCTACACACTCGTTTCAAAAAGCAAGCAGTTCTAATGATGGAGGGCGGTTCCTTTTCAAGATGGGCCCATCGCCAGACACCTCCTCAACATGTGTAGCCACATGTGCAGCAACTGTGCAGCAGCTGCACGGCTTGGCGCCGGCTCCTTTTTTGAGCGGGCTTGTCGGTGGATGTTCCCTTGTCGCCTTCCTTGTCGCCTTCCTTGTCGCCTTCCTTGTCGCCTTCCTCGTCGCCTTCCTCGTCGCCTTCCTTGTCACCTCCCTTGCCGCCTTCCTCGTCGCCGTCCTCGTCGCCTTCCTCGTCGCCTCCTCGAACTTCGTGGCCCTGCCCGGTCGCCTTCCCCCCTAGCTCGACGGGCGAAGGCCGGCTTCTCTCCAAGGCGGAGCTCCCCCGCGCGAATGTCGACGGCCCACGGGGCGCGCTTCTTCCGAGGGGTGCGGTTCGCGCAGCGAAGAGGAGGAGGAGGGGGAGGAGGAGGAGGAGCAGGAGGAGGAGGAGGAGGAGAAGAAGAAGAGGAGGAGGAGGAGGAGGAGGAGGAGGAGCAGGAGTGCTTGTGGGGACTCTCACACACGAGGAGGGGTCTTTGGGACTGGAGGGTGTGTGGCAGCGTCGTTGGCACATCTTGAATCCACCTTGAACCTTCTCCTTTTCCTCCTCCTCCTCCTCCTCCTCCTCCTCCTCATCCTCCTCATACGCTACTCCTCATTCGCCTCCTCTTTCTTTTTTTCATTTTTTCTTCTCCAGTTCCTAAATCATTGTTCCTCATTATTGTTGCTCCTCCTCCTTGTCCTGTTCTTCCAGGAAGCGAAATTCAAACCAGACCGACGATCGCTGATGCTCTCGCTGCCAGAGTCGTCGATGCCCCCGTGCTCAGGCGGCGGGGTCTGGGCAAGCCGCAGCCCGTATGTAGCCATCGCTCTGCCCATGTTCGCGCGCTTCAGCACCTCAACAGGCATCGGGCAGTCAGGCCGTGCCGTCGATTCCAGCGATCTGAGACGCCAGGATGTGTCGCCGTTGTCACCATCCCCTGAGATCCGACGTTGCGAAAAGAATTCAACATCGCGAAACATCACGACGGGAGCCATGTCTTGCGCCAGATCGACTTGCGATGGTCCCGGGGCTCGACAATGGGCAAAACCGCCCTGTGTGGAAAGGTTGCAACGCGCGGGTCCCAGGGCCTCCCAGCACATCTCCAGGTCCTCGAGATCGAGTTTGACGTCCGGCAGTGGGCCTTCCTGGCCCGCCACTCATTCGTGAGCCTGCGCAGCCTGGCCACGAAGGCGGTGATCCAGGTGCCAGCACTGCGAAGGGGGGGGGGAGGCGCCTGCCCTGAGGGAGGAGAGCGGTGGAGGGAGCGGAGGCAGGGGAGTGGAAGGCAATAAGGTCGAATAACGAAAAACGGCAGACCTGATCTTCCGGAGCTCTGCGCGGATTTCTTGGACCTGCGTTGGACCCCCATGGCAGCGCCTCTGGCGCCGCCGCTGGCGCACTCCGCGCGCCAGGGAGGAGGGCCAAGCGTAAATCCAAGGAGTCAGCGCGGACCTCCGAAAGTTTTTGTCTCTGCAGGTTCGCCTTCCTCCAGAGAGGCGGGTCGTGGATCCTCTCGGGCAGCGCTGCTGCCGCAGGCTGTAGGCTGTTCCCTGCTCACTTCCTGACTCCGGCTCCGCCGCGCTTTGGTTCGTGCTCCAGCATCAAAGTATGGCGTCGGACATGCACCCCAAACGTCTCGAAAGCGCAGGGCGGAAACCTCCGCTTCGAAAAAGGCGGGGCGGAGTCGTTCCCGCAACCGTGGGGCGGCAGCAGCGACGGCAGAGCGGGGCGGAGATCGACATCGGAGGACCCTGAACAGCGGGGCAGGAGCTTCCGCCCTACTTCCGCAATCCGGTTGAGGGAAACAATTCAGCAACACTCCCCCCCTCCCCCGCAATTCAAAGTTGACCAGGTTTTCGCAAGACCGCTCGGAGGCCCAAAATGGGAAGATCCGAAGCCAACATTGCATTTGGGGGGAGGGGGGGAGGCTCAACCATATGTTCTGCATGAGTGCTGTTTAATTGTTTCCGACACCTGTCGCACCGAAAGCACGGCGGGCCTGGAGTCGGGCTCCGCCGTGTCCCGCCGCTGCGGGGCGAGGCCTCTGCGGTTCCTCTGCCGTGCGACGCGGCCCCCCGGCGCGCACCGTCCTGCTCGGCGTCACGGGCTGCAGCTGCGCCACTAGGGGAACAGAAAGTGTCGTAAACATCAAAACTTGGAGGTCCGCGCGGATTTCTCGGATCGGCGCTGGGGCCCCCTGGCGGCGCCTCCCGCGCCGCCCCTGGCGCGCTCCGCGCGCCAGGGAGGGGGCCATCTTGGAAGCCATGCAAGAGGCTCTAACGCGTCGCGTTACCCCCCGTCCAGACCGATGGGGGTCGGAGTGGCAAACTTCTCCACGAAGTGGAAGAAGGGGGTGGAATAGGTAACTAATTCTCTAAGCCACCCACGCCCGGAGGACGATGGGCTCATGTGGGCTCCCACTCTTATCCTTTGCCTCCTCTTCGGTCCACCACCTCCTCCTCCTCCTCCTCCTCCTCCTCCTCATCCTCCTCTATCCTCCAGTTCTGGGGCAACGTCAGGGGGGATAGGCTCAGGGGGGAGGAATGGACCCCCAATCGCCCACTCATCGCTGATAGGGGCCCGATAGCCCACCCCGCGCAGGAACATGCGGGTTCGCTATCCCAGGCCTATCGCTGATCTATCGGCGATGTATCGCCGATTCCTGCTCGATGTTTCGCCACCTCAGCCGGTCCCCCCTAACGTTGCCCCTCATCAGGCGTGGGGAGGCTGGGCGGCAATCTTGGGACGAGCTAGATCCAGACATCCGACGCAGTAATTATTTCAATGCGCGGCCCCAGAGGTCCCGACCCCTTCCCCGTGGGGCAGTTTTCCATCCCGGGTCCATTCTTGATGGTCTTGAGGCCGAGACCGAAGGAGAACGCTGGGATTGAAAAAGTCTCATGCGCGACGGAAGAAAACGAGTTCATCTGCGCCGACGTCGGACATTCGGGCCCAAGTTGCCCGCGCGAGGTCGGGTTCGTAAGCGCCCTCGTTTCCCATGCAGCGTGCCGCGCTGGCGGCCCGCGCAAGCTGCGGCGTAAGGTCGCTGTGCCAACTCTTTTTTTGTTCGGCGGCCCGCAAGGAAAAGTCCAGAGGGCGTGCCAATCAACGGCAAAGGGGCGCGATGCCAGATGACTCGAGAGGGCCAGGCCACAGAGGGAGGAAGCCGCCAAGAGGGCGCCAACCCTCCTCCTCCTCCTCCTCCTCCTCCTCCTCCTCCTCCTCCTCCTCCTCCTCCTCCTCCCCCTCCTCCTCCTCCTCCTCCTCCGAAGCTCTGTGCCAACTCGCGTCAGGCCCTGTTCTCTTCGTCGCCCAGATCGCCCAGCGTTCCTGCGGCATCGGGTCCGCGGAAAGGGGGGGCCCACAGGGCCGAGATCGAAGGAAAACGCCGGGACTGAAGAGGTCATGCCTTCGGAGATCTGGGGAGAGGCTGGGCGTCCCTCCTCCCTCCTCCCTCCTCCCTCCTCCCTCCTCCCTCCTCCCTCCTCCCTCCCGGCCTCCCTCCTCCCTCCTCCCTTCCTCCCTCCTCCCTCCTCCTCCTCCCTCCTCCTCCTCCTCCTCCTCCTCCTCCTCCTCCTCCTCCTCCTCCTCCTCCTCCTCCTCCTCCTCCTCCTCCTCCGCCGGCCTCTCAGCATCCCGGGCACCCGAGGTCGGGTACCTCGTGGAGGGCAAGTCGGACGCGGAGCTGCGAGAGCCCCAGCAGGCCGTGAATCTCCGGAGGTCTCCCTGAGGCCTTTCCGAAAGTCTGCCCACGCTGCCTGGCACCTAGCCCACGGGCATCTGGCCCTATAGGATTCAAACCTCTTAGGGTCCTCGCCCAGCGTCCACACCTACCACGCATATCGTTGATCGGCACGGGCCCACGAGCGCGGTTCTCTGGCCCCCATGAGCGTTACTTTAGCCCCTATGAGCGTTGAATTCTGGGTGCCGAACGCTGGTGTAGGTGCAGTGCCGAATACCGCGGCTGAGGTTTTTGGAGAGCGTGATAAGGTCGTCCCAGACTTCCCCCCACACCTCCACGGACGGCGTTCAACAAAAGTAAGATGGAGTTTTTTCCCCACCCGACAGGTTGGGGTTGTTAGATTTTAAGAGCAGGACCCCCCCAGCCAATCCCACCCTGTATACCGCGGCCGCCAGACCCCAAGTTGTCCCGAGAGTCCCGAGTATCCTTGGTGTCCCGCCTCGCGCCGGGCCAACCCCGTCCTGGATACCGCGGCCGCCAGACCCCAAGTTGTCCCGAGAGTCCCAAGTATCCTGGGTGTCCCGCCTCGTGCCCAGTCAACCCCGCCTTGCATACCGCGGCCGCCAGACCCCAAGTTGTCCCGAGTATCCCGAGTACCTGGCTGTCCCGCCTCGCGGCTGGCCAACCCCACTTTGCATACCGCGGCCGCCAGACCCCAAGTTGTCCCGATGATCCCGCCTCGCGCCCTCATCGAACACGACAGAAGACAACATAACATATCCGAGCATAACATAACACACCTTGGCATAACCCATCCGATCATGGCACAGCATCACATAACATATCATAACACGACAGCAGGGCATAGCGACGACGAACACGACAAAGCAATGGCACGACAGAACATGGCAGAAGAGAACACGGGCATGGCATAACATAACATAGCAACGCCATTATAATGTAGAACACACCATAACATCACATACCATATCAGAGCAGAGTATGGCATAACATAAGACGACATAACACAATCTACATAACATAACCGATCATATCATAACACATTGACTGAACATATCGCACCATGGCACAGCACCACATAACATATCACACCACGACAGCAGAGCATAGTGACACTAGCAGGGCATATCATATTCTATTATACAGAGCTGAGCCGTCAACGACCAGAACATCACGGAACATGCCATAGCATAGCATCGCATAACAGAAGACGACATAAGACATTATAAGATAACATAACCGAGCACGACACAACGCACCTTGACAGAACAGAGCATATCATGACGCCAAATCACAGAATATACCGTAACACGACAGCAGAGCATAGCAACGACGAACACGATGAACACAACATGACACAACAGGCCACAACAGAACAGAACAAGAGCATGGCATAACATCACATAACAGGACATAGCAACGTCATGACACATTTTAGCATAACATAACATCACATAACCTACCATAATCAGTTCATGAACAGAAGACGCCAGAACACAAGATAGCACAACTTAACCGAGCATACCATAACGCACCTTGACATAACAGATCAGATCATGGCACAGTCTCACAGAACATGTCATAACACGACAGCAGAGCAGAACGGCACACATTATTTGAGCAGATTGTAGTATATTATACCGAGCCGAACGGTCAACAAACAGAACATCACATAACATACCAGAGCATGACCTGATAACCATAAGACGGTATAACACAACATAACATAACAGAGCCGAGCATAACATAGCAAATCATGACATAACATCTCATATCATAGCATGGCAGCATCACAGACCATATCAGAACACGACAGCAAAGCATAGCGACACGTACTAGCAGAGATTATCATATTATACTCTATTGAGCCGAGTTGTCAGCAGCGTCGCGGAGCGGATCATTCTAGAACATATGTTGGTATGGCAGTTCATGTCACAACGTAGTGCCACAGAGCAGACCATACCATAACATCTCAATTCATGTGGTGGCAGAGATTAGCCTAACATAACATACGCACTCAGAAGACAAGCACATCAGTGAAGAGGAACATCATAACAGACGATGCATCAAATGTCACAGGCGTCACGACGTCACGCCAGCCCGTCGAGAACGGAGCAATACATAACATAGCATAACATGAAAGAGCGTGACTACATGGAACACGGTTGAACCGTTTTTGAATCCAGAAGAGGCAGTTGTCGACCAAATTAGGCGATCGCGCGCCGTCGGGAAGAAACGCTTAAGGTTTCGGTGGGGATCGCTCGAAGCAAGATAATTTATCGTTTTCGGCGTTTGGGGGCCCAGATGAAACACGGGTCTCAGGGAAGTGGTCCAGAGCTCCGGGGACCCCGTATTGAACAATGTAGCAGATGTCTCCGACAGTAATGTTTTTCCAGCCGCGGAGTTTTGTCATGCATTTCACCCTCCGCGGGTCGCTTTCGGGTTCGGTCCCCGGAAGTCTCCAGAGGCTTCCAGGCCCAGGGCCAAAAACGTTCAACATGAATGTCCACCCGCTCACCCCCTTCCGTCTCCACTCTGGAAGTTGGCCTCTCCACAACGGATGCGCAGCCTCCAGAAAAGGAGGCCTGGGATCCTCCGGGGAGGTCCCGGCAAGACCTTCGGCGAAACGTCTGGGTGCCTCGATCGATCGCCTCCAGGCACCCCGCGGCGGCCGCGGCGACGGCGGCGCACCGCGACCGATCGCCTCCAGGCACCCTGCGGCGGCCGCGGCGACGGCGCGGCGGCCGCGGCGGCGATCGCGGCACGGGCGGCCGGTCGCGTCAGGGCTCGCCCGGGCCGCGGGTTCGGCCGGCACGCGTCGAGGACGGTGTGGGCATTTTGGGGCGGTCGGCTCTGCTCTCGGTTGGCGGCGTGCTCCACGAGGCTTAAGCTGGGCGTGTCCCCCTACAGGGGGATTTTCGAGGAAAAATAAAAAATACACAAAAAATAAGCCGAAAAGGTTAAAAAGTTATGAGAGAAATAGTCACCAGATTATTTTTGAGTTTTTTTATAATATGTTGGGTGTATTTTTGATTTTTCGTCGAAAATCCCCCTGTAGGGGGACACGCCCGACATAGTACAAGGTGCCCAGGGTGGATCGGACCAGCTGGACCGGCCTGACTGGCAGGCCCAGGACGAGTACGAATCGTTCCAGACCGTTTTGGGACGTGCCCAGAGCGCTTCGGAGCGGCCGCGGCGCTCGATGCGTCCTCTAGGCCCGCCGGCTCTTAGAGCGTATCGATTCATTCTAAGCTGAGCTTGTCTTCATCCATGTGTCAGGACCAGGCCACGGATCGGCTGGGATCGGGGGCGCGGGGCTCCTACCCTTGCGTCCCCTCCTTGCCGTCCTCCCCCGTTCTGGCCCCTCCTTCCTCCATTCTGGAGGATCGGAACCCTCCCTGTTCAGGAGGTCGAGCCCTTGTTTTAGAGGACGAGCGCCTCCAGGAGGGAGGAACAACGAGGAGGAGGAGGGGGAGGAGGAGGAGGAGGGGGAGGGGGAGGAGGAGGAGGAGGAGGGCAAGGGAGGAGAGGTACGAGGAGGAGGAGGTCGAACCTCAGAACTTCGGGGGTGTCGCCCCGTCTGGTCCCCCGTGGCCGCTCAGATTTTTGGGGCTCAATTGGGGCGAACCCCGGCAGGGGCACGGCCCCCCCGTGTCTTTTTCCAGAGTCCCTCCTCCTCTCCTCCCTCACTCCTCCCTCCTCCTCCTCCTCCTCCTCCTCCTCCTCCCTCCTCCTCTCCTCCTCCCCCTCCATCCTCCTCCTCCCTCCTCTCCTCCTCATCCTCCTCCTCCTCCTCCTCCTCCTCCTCCTCCTCCTCCTCCTCCTCCTCCCCCTCCTCCTCCTCCTCCTCCTCCTCCTCCTCCTCCTCCTCCTCCTCCTCCTCCTCAAGCTGTTCGAGGCGAACGGCACCATTGTGGCGGCATCGCTCGGACGTGTGCGTTTTTTCCTCGGCGAGGACCATCGAGGAGCATCCTGGACCACTTGCCGAAAAAAAACCAAGCACGCAACCGACAAAAAAACACAGGGAGTGGTCGTCCGAGCGATAACGAGCTGGCGACAGTACCGTCGAGACGCTGAAGTTAAGGACCGCTTCGGGCTCGGGAGGAGGCTCTGGTTTGCGGGTCGCTTCTGGGATCTAGGTCGGGGAATCTGTTCGAAGCCCAGGCGCGCCGTGGCAAGGAAAAGCCATGCCGTTCTTGATGCAGGGCCCCCCGGCGGCAGCACGATGGTTGCAAGGCTCGAGGGCATGGCGCGGCGAAGCGTGCCGAGATCGAGAGCGGGGGTCTCCCTCCGCCCACGTGGCCGCTGCAGCCAAGTCGCTGAAAGGAGGACCGCTGTGGGCTCAGCAGGGGCTCGGGTGTCGAGGCCGCTCCATATACCTAACTCTAGTATATATTATATATATATTATATATATATATGATATATATTATATTATATAGAGTCGGAGAAGCCCTGCTCGTGGCCGAGGCTCGCCGGGGCCAGGAGGGCCCGTTCGTTCCTTCTGCAGCGCTCCTCGTGGCAGCACGCTGACGGGGCAGGCGGCCCGGATTGGCAGGTCGACCCTGCCAGCTCGAGGGCACCCTCGTGTCCTTTTGTCTCGCGACGTCGCGCCTCCTGCAGTTCCGCGGCAGCGTGGCCCTCGGTCGGAGGGCACCAACTATACACCAACACCGATCCTGGCCCAGGATCACCCTGGGCCCAGGATCGGTGTATATGCCTTCTTGCGCAAGGCAGGAGGGCGTATACGCCGATCCTGGGCCCAGGGTGATCCTGGGCCAGGATCGGTGTTGGTGTATAGTTGGTGCCTTCCTACTCGGCAGGTCTCTCGTGCGTCCCTCTCCATCGCGTGTCCCCTCCAATGCAGTCCGGCTGCAGGCGCTTCGAGGAGGCGTGCCCGCTCGTGGCCGCACCTAGTCACTGCCCCCCCCCCTGCTGGCGGATCCGTCGGCCGGCGCGCACTGGGAGGCAAGAAAAGAGAATCTAACCAGGGCCCCAGACGGGAGGAGGAGGAGGAGGAGAGGGGGAGGAGGAGGCGGAGGAGGAGGAGGGGAGGAGTAGGAGGATGGAGGAGGAGGGGAGGAGGAGAGGGGGGAAGTGTGGATGAGGTAGGAGGATGATTGATAGGAGGAGGATGAGGAGGAGGATTGGAGAGGAGGGAGGAGTGGGAGGAGGGAAACGGAGTAGGAGGGTAGGAGGATGGAGGGTCGGGGGAGTGTGGGATTCGGTGTGATGTTATGCAGAAGTAGGTATACGGAGGAGGGAGTTTGTGTAGGAGTGTGGATGAGGAGGGGAGGTGATGAGGGGGCCTTAGTGAGGGGGATGGAGGATGTGGGGTATCAGGACCACGAGGGCCCGCCAGCTGAGGCCTCCTACCTCTCTCGAGTCCTCCGCCTCGCCCCTTAGGTACTGGAGTTGCGGATCCTCCTCTCCCTCTGGGAGGGGAAAGGCCCTTCCATACGGCCCGCCCCCCGATTTCCTCTGCCACCGTCCCCTCGTCCCTCCCCCCCGATCGTTCCCCCCCCCCCGTTCGAGACCCTCTTCCCTCCTCCTCCTCCTCCTCCTCATCCTCCTCCTCCTCCTCCTCCTTCTCCTCCTCCCCCTCCTTCCACGGCTGAAGCATGCTGTCCGCGGAAGATGTCTTCGAGGGACATCCCCTCCGAAGAGCATTCAGCAACGAGCTGCCCGACGAGGGGGCCCTCTTCCCTCCTCCTCCTCCTCCTCCTCATCCTCCTCCTCCTCCTCCTCCTTCTCCTCCTCCCCCTCCTTCCACGGCTGAAGCATGCTGTCCGCGGAAGATGTCTTCGAGGGACATCCCCTCCGAAGAGCATTCAGCAACGAGCTGCCCGACGAGGGGGAGTGGTCATCTGCGCCCGATCGCGGCCTCTCCGCCCCCCAAAGCCGCCAGGGACGGCCCTCCGCGCGCGTGCACGCGCGCCCGCACGCAGCCTCGCTCGTTGAGGAGAAGGAGGCGGAGCAGGAGGAGGAGGAGGCGGAGGAGGAGGAGCAGGAGGCGGAGGAGGAGGAGGAGGAGGAGGAGGAGGAGGAGGAGCTCCAACAGTTCATGTTCATGCTGTTTTCTGGTTCGCCCCTTTTCGTCATGTCCCCACGTGCGTCGCGCCAGATTTGGGCGGGTGGGTTCGAAGAAGAAGGCAAGACGGGTTCGAAGAAGAAACCAAGACGGCCCAAGCATAAGTCTTCGGAGATACAGCGGTTCATGTTTCTGCCGATGCTTCTTCTTCTTCTTCTATGAGCTGGGGCTTCTGAGGCCAGAGCAGATCCTGGCGCACATCCGCCTGCACCACGCAGACTTCACGCAGGCCAAGAGCATTCCAGACCTCTAGGGTCGCGGTTTCCGCCAGCGCCACCTTGAAAAGCGCGGCGCTGGCTGAGCAAAAGGAGCGTTGCCCGATGCGCCTCGAGAGGGGGGGGAGGGAGTCGGATCCTGACTCTAGATCCGCCCAGTTTTTGGCGATGTCGCAGGTAGCGCGGAAACTCCCGCCCCACGGTTCAAGCTCCTTTGATGTCGGTTTCCGCCGTACTGGTCCGTCCCTGTTTCCGCCAGAGTGTTGTGGATGTCCGCCTTCTCATGTGGAAAGAGCCGTGGACACTTTCACAAGGTTGCGGAGTGTTCCACAATGTTGCATCCTCTTCCACAGAGATGTGGAAATTTCCACACAACATTCAAGCAGGGTTGTCCGCCCTACGTTTCTGGGGAGGAACTGTCCGCCCTGCATGTGCGCAATCTATCGGGGGTGCCTTTCAGAAACGCGTCTGGGTCTAGAGGGCAGCCGACGCACGGCGGAGATCCAGAGTCGGGGTTGCCCGATGGGCCTCGAGAGGCGGGCGGAGAGTCGGAGGGGGGGGGGGGAACCGCACCTGGACAATGAGTTCGAAACCTGCGGGGCAAGATACCCCCCCCGACCCACAAAAATACAGTCAAGACGCTGAAATAAGGAACCGTTTGGGTTCGGAAGGGGCTCGATGTTCCTTAGGTTCCTCCAGTGCTGTTCCTCTTGCCCTCCTGGGGCACGGAGGCGCTTACAGGGCCAAGAAGGGGCTTCCTTCCTTATTTTTAGCGTCCCTTCTTTCAGCGGCCCGACTGTAATGTCGAGGGTGCGGCAGTGGAGAGGGCACGGGTGGACAGACACATTCGAACCCCGAAACCACCACCCATGCTAAAGTCAACATGGACTTCCGTGGCGGGGGGGGTGATGAACATCCCCCTCAAGCGTGCGAGGGTTCGAAGATTTTGTCCATGTGCTGGAGCTTTCTGGTGGCAGTGGCACGCGTAGCAGGCGCTCGCCCGGGCAGAGGCGAGCGGAGCTCACGGGCAGTTGTTGAGGGGCCTGGGCCCAGGGCCCTTTGCTATGGTACCCTTGCTCGGGGCCTAGGCCAAGGGCTAGGCTGGGCCAGGGGCCTAGGCCTAGGGCTCATGGGCCAGGGAATGCTAGGCTCAATTCCTTAGGTGATCCTTGCTCGGTTTTTCTGTTTCAAACAATGTAGATTCCTCCGGTCTTCCTTTGCGGTGCATTGGGACCTTCTTCTCCCAGGCCAGTATATTTCTCATAGCTGTTTGCTGTTCCTTAGGTCGCCCTTCGCCGACTCTGATCCCCCGAAGTCTGACCCCATGAGCAGGCGAGTGATAGGCCATGAGCAGTATACTTTCAGCGGAGACAGAAGACATACCAGCGCAGACATCCCAGAGACGTCGTTGTCCCCGAAGATGTCCGCCAGGAACGCTCCGTGCGTTTCGGGGGGGAGGGCATCGGGGGGGCAAGGGCAGAGATTTCACGAGGCGGCAAGAGGAGATGTCGGGAGGGAGGAGGGAGGAAGCGGGGAGGCATGATGAGGTGGCGCAGGGGGGTGAGAAAGAGAAGAGGGTTGGGGGGGGGGGGGGAGAGACGGATGCCAGAGCGATGCCTTGCCACGCCATCCCTCCTCATCTTCCTCTCTTATTCCTCCTCTTTCCCTCATCCTTCTCCTCCTCATTCCCCTTTCCTTCGTCTTCCTTCTCATTCTCCCCTCCTCCCCCTTCCCCCCTCCTCTTCCCCTGTCCTCATTATTCCTATGCCCCAACCACCTCCTCCGTCCCGCTCCCCCGTTCTCTTCCCTCCCCCTCCCCCTCCCCCTCCCCATCCACCGCCTCCTCCTCCTCTTCCTCCTCCTCCTGCTCCTCCTGCTCCTCTTCATTTCCACGTCTTGAAGTTGAGGCTAACTGCGTGTGCTTTTCGCCGCGCAGCGTGATTCGTTCTCGACTGGCCTCCGCGCTTCGCACGGTGCGTGTCCTCCTCCTCCTCCTCCTCCTCCTCTTTCTCCTTCTCATCTTCCTCCTCCTCATTTCCCTGTCTTGAAGTTGAGGCTAACTGCGTCTGCTTTTCGCCGCGCAGCGTGATTCGTTCTCGACTGGCCTCCGCGCTTCTCACGGCGCGCGTCCTCCTCCTCCTCCTCCTCCTCCTCCTCCTCCTCCTCCTCCTCCATTTTCCTCCTCCCTTTCCCTACTCATCCTCCCCCGGCTCCCCATCCCGCGATCCCGAGATCGCTGTGTCACTTGCCCATGCTGCCTTGTCCGAGAAGACTCGGGCCTCGCTCCGCGTCTGACCATGAAGCTGCTGGCCGCTCACCCGAGTCCTGATCCTTCTCCTGCTCCCTCCTCCGTCCTCCGTGTTTCGTCCTCCGTCCTCCTCCTCCTCCTCCTCCTCCTTCTCCGTCTTTCGTCCTCCGTCCTCCTTCCCCTCCTCCTCCTCATCCTCCTCCTCCTCGTCCTCCTCCTCCTCCTCCTCCTCCTCCTCTATTCCTTTTTCTTGTCAGTAACTCCTCCCTGTCGGACACCGAGGCCAGTCAGAGGGGTGGGCCGGACGTTTCGCCTGAGACTTCGGTACCATGTATGAGCATAAGGCTTAAACACTGGCAACAGTCAAACGATGCGAAGATCGGGACAAAATCGGATCGGGATAGCTCGAAGTCTCTGAGAATCGGCGGGTTTGGAGGATGTATTGGGCGCCGCGGCCGCTCCAGGGCGTTCCGGAACGCTCTGAGAGCGCTCCGGAACGCTCTGGAGCGATTTATCCCGATCCTAGCCCTGTTTTAAACAGTTTCACAGATGGAGGGCGGGTGGTATTCGAAATGTGACTCTCGCCGTAGCGCCGCGCACATTCAATACAACAGATTGCAGGAGCTGCTCGGATTGAGGACACGTGATTTTTGAAAGAATGTGGTTCTCGCTGGTGCGCCGCACACATTCGTTTTCAAGGATTGCAGGGAGCTTCACGGATTGAGAGCGGCTCGTTTCAAAATGTGGTTCTCGCCTTACCGCCGCGCACATTCGTTTAGCAATAGTCGCAAGAGCTTCACGGATTGAGGTAGCGCCGCGCATATTCGTTTTAAACATTACAAATTGTTCACGGATGTTCACGGTTAGCATGCCAGACATGGTGTTTTGGAACGATTCAGAATTGTCAGGGCGCAAGAGTTATTTAGATTCATGGTGTTGAAGTCCCAGGATTGGTGTTTGGCACGCAAAAGTCAGGTTGTCTCGTGGCGTTGAAGTCATGAGAAAGGTGTTTCGGTACGTACGCTTCAGGATCTTCTGACTCGAATTGCATCCATGCTGAGGCCTCTGAAGAGGGCTCTTGGAGGGAGGGTGTATGCCAATATCGTTGGTGAGTTTTGGTTCTACACTGGTCCTCCTCCTCCTCCTCCTCCTCCTCCTCCTTCTCCCTTTTCCTCCTCCTCCTCCTCCTTTTTCCCTCCTCCTCCTCCTCCTCCTCATCCTCCTCCTCCTCCTCCTCCTCCTCCTCCTCCCTTTTCCTCCTCCTCCTCTTCCTCCCTTTTCCTCCTCCTCCTCCTCCTCCTCCTCCGCAGGCTCCTCCTGCTCCCTCCGCCGCCCTGCTCCTCTCCCCCCTTCCCTCTCCTTTAGGGGCAGCCAGCGGCGTGCCCCCTGGGGGATTGAACTCGGAGGGGGGGGGCCAGGACGCCGTAGATTTAAGTCGGGTGTGTCCCCCTACAGGGGGAATAATCAAACATAGTAAACAAATAGTCTGGGGACTATGTTTTGAATATTGTTTGACCATTTTGGGGTACTTGTTGAGTACTTTTTATTTTTCGTCGAAAATCCCCCTGTAGGGGGGCCCCCTGTAGGGGGACACGCCCGACTTAACCGTAGATGCGGGCTGCAGCAAACGGGGGCACGGGGCACGCCGATTGCCACGCCGGGCCATGCCCCTGTTCAGGGGGCCCTGGGCTCCGTGGGGCGGCGACGCAGCAAGCGGGGGCACATGGAAAAGCCCAGGCCCCCCGTTCGGCCGCGCCCCCGTGCCAAGGGGGCCCAGAGGTGCAGCGTCGGCCACTGGTCGCCCCCCCTTCCTCGCCGTCAACCTCGGGCCCTCGGGCGCCCCACTGCACAGGGAAGGGCGCGCTCCCGCGGCGCACCCGGGGCCCACTACTCTGCCGACTTGTTCGCGACGCGTCCTCGATTCTGGGCCCGCGCTCCCCCTCCTCCTCCTCCTCCTCCTCCCTCCTCCTCCTCCTTCCTCCTCCTTCTCCTCCTCCTCCTCCTCCTCCTCCTGCTCCTCTCTCCTTCTCCTCCTCCTCCTCCTCCTCCTCCTCCTCCCCGTCCCCCGTCCCCCGTCCCCCTCCCCCTTCCCCTCCCCCTCCTTCCTCTTCCTCCTCCTCCTCCTCCTCCTTCTCCTCCCCCCTACCGTTTTCGGATGTTTTCGCTGGATCCTGGGCGTTTTGTCGCCTCGGGATGCCCTCCAGCAGCTGCGCCTCGCCGAGGCCGTTGCCAGGGTATCCGGATCGTCCCGAACGGCCGCCAGAGGCCAGAGTTATTTATGTGCCGAAAACCCAGCTCGGGGTGGCACCTTGAGATCCAGGCGTTGTTCTTGTTTACTTCACGCCAGGCATTGCCTGGCCAGATCGATCTGGCTCGAAAAATGCAGCAGAAAGATGGGGTCTAGGGCTCGTGTCGTGATTTTGCGCGATGTTGCAGTTTTCGGTAACGTCGGATCTCAGGGCTGGGCAAGCCCCCCTTATCGGCTCCCTTCCAGGCAGGGGACCCATACCTAATATCTTTCTGTTCCAGGCCATGGGGCCCAGAGCCTTCGACCGTCTGTCTCTTAGGAGTGTCGTGCCCTGGGCCAGGCCTCTGGAGAAAGAAAGGTCAGCCGCTGTCGTTGTTCCAGGGCGCTGGCGGTCGTGGGTGGACCCCTTCCGCAAATGCAGCCTCATGCGAGCGCGTTCCGACCAGGATGTCGAGGCGAATCCACCCGTGCCGACGAGGCGCCCCACCAAGGCCATCAACACAAGTAGAGAAACGTCGCCCCGAGGGAGAACAAGCAAGGTA